TGCAGTTTCCATGCACGCAAGGGTTGGATGCACATTCATCAATGTTGATATCACAGTAGGTCCCAGTCCATCCCTTGGCACATGTGCAGTGATAGTGAGTATAGAAGTCTTCACATCTCCCATTGTTCATGCAAGGGTTTGTGCTGCAGACGTCTAACTGGGAGCAGCCAGTGGCAACAGAATTGGCGGATATCTTTAGGAATTGCTCTTCTTGTGGCCTTTTAGTGTAGCCATCAGCACTGTCAAAATAGGAGAGATGGATCCCGCTGATCTCTATGGTACTCATGCAACCACTTAGTCCATTCAGGTCATCAAAAGGTCTGTCAGCCAGGTAGATATCTGTCCCTTCCCTTAGGAAGTTGAGGTTTCCTGTGGTGACCATGCTTGTTGCACTGTCTTTCTCACCATCGAAATCCATGCGCCATGTTGATGACTGAGAGGAGGGTTCAGCCATGGAAAAGGTCACTTGGTGCCACTTCCCATCATTTACTGGTTTGGAGGTAGCCAAGTTCAGTCCATAGAAGCTGTTTCCACTTTGCAGCTGAAACACTAATTTAGTCTTCTGGATGCTGATGCTGATGAACTCTGGCTCCTTCTCAGCATAAAGCAATATCACATCCGAGTCTCGGGTTCGAAAGCCAAAAGCTATCTTGGTGAGGTCTCTCTTGATCTTCCCATTGCTCCTATAAAAGATGGCACTGTTTCTGCCACTAAAAATGGCATTGGCGCTACCTAGCCAGAGACAACAAAAGTTATTAAAGGACAGAAAGTTTTAATTGTTTGCGTACAGTATGCTACATTTCTGGTTTGGTTTCTCTGTAAGGGGAAAACACATGGAGGGGAGATTGAGCAAAATGGCATATGGGGATGTACAAACCAAAACGTAAAGCAACAACAAAACCCCAAACAATAAACAGTATAGTAATTGCTGTCAAGGAAAATGTTTTCAAACACTTTCCAACATTTCTCATTTCTGTCAGACGCAGGTCTTCAGCAAAGTCTCTCCAAATATTTTGGATTGCAACAGGGATAGCACACAATTATTCATCATTGTTGAGGGAAATCCATCTCTCTTCCAGTTACTGTGAAGATTGCAATGAAACCTATAAGAATAATAGAGCCTAGGAGGATGGCAGCTACTGCCATCGTTCCTACCAATGTAAAAGGTCAAGGGCTTTGGCAATTTTAGCCATGGTTCCACTATAACACTGCTTGCAGAACTACCCTGCTTGGTAGTGATGTTAAATATATTATACAATAGGTATTCCGCACAGTTATGAAACAATCCCAAAAGGACTCAGCTTGACTCTAGTTTGACTTCGACTATTTGTGTTTTTTGTAAAAATTAGTGGGTCCTTTCCCCCTTTCTAATCATCATCATCATCATCATCATCACTATTACTATTATTACTAGCTGTACCCGCCACACGTTGCTGTGGCCAACCTTCCCTCCTCCTTCCTCTCCTCCTTTCTTTCCCTCCTTCCTTCGTTCCTTCCTTCCTCTTTCTTTCCTTACCCTTTTTTCTTTCATTCTCTCCTTCCTTCCTTCTCTTCCTCTTCCCTCCGCCTTTTTTCCCCTTCCTCTTTCTCCTCTTTCTTCCTTCTCTACCTACTCTTGGACTGCACTCCCAACAGTCCTCCTGATCTACCTACCTACCTATCTCTATCTAATCTATCTATCTTATCTATCTGGAGGATTGCTGGGAGTTGCAGTCCAGGAATAGAAAATTAGAAATATGCAGGGATTGGGATGCTCTCAAAGAAATCCAAGGAGCTTGGAAGCAGTGCATTTGGATCATCCTCCTCTCCTAAAGGGCCTGGTCTAGAGGATGCTGAGAGCTGTAGTCCAAATTTATTTATTTATTTACTAGATTTGTATACCTCTCTTCTCAGCCCTCGGGCGACTCAGAGCGGTTCACAATAGCAAAATTCAATGCTTAAAACATCATAAAACAGTTAAAAACAATTAAAACAATAGCACTATAACAATTAAACATCATAACATCTTAATAATAATAATAATATTAATAATAATAATAATATTGTTTGATGGGAGCTCAAACGGACATCTAGTCCAACCCTTCTGCCTTCATGCAGAGAAAGCACAATCAAAGCACCCCTGACAGATGACCATCCAGCTTTAACAACAACAACAACAACAACAACAACAATGAGAGTGTGGATATGGTTTTGTGTTTTGTTTGCCGAGGGAGCCGTTTCGGTGCATATGCTGTAACGTCTTTTTGCATTTTTGGCTTTTTAAGTCCCTTCCGCTGTGTTTTTCAGTGTTTTTATGAGTGATAGTCACTCATTGGCCTGATAGGTGTATTTTGTCCAAATTTGGTGTCAATTCACCCAGTGGTTTTTGAGTTATATTAATCCCACAAACGAAAATTACATTTTTATTTATATACATTACTTTCTTAAAAGAGACTCAAAGTGGCACTTTTCTCACCCTTCTCATAAACAGACAATCAACTACACCACAAAGACTGAAACACTACATTTAATCTGAACTAGTTGTGTAAACTAATTCCATGCTGCCTTCCTTCTGCAAATATAATGGAAATTACTAGGCAAGAATGGAACTTGCTTCTGTCATCATAGATCGTTAGTTTATCTATCCTTTCACTTGCAGAGTCCTGCAAGGAAGGGTGCGACACAAATCGAACTTGACAAAAATACTTAGAACATAAATACTTGCATTCAAATCCTTGATGGACCAGCTGACATTGGGCTTCATGGGGGCACGGACTGAGTTCACACCACTTCACTTCCTCACAAGCTTTCCCTGCTGTATTTGGTGGGCACGTGCAAGTGAAGTCATCCCAGATGGAATAGCAAACCCCACTGTTCTTGCAGGGGTTGGACTAAAGAGGAGAGAAAGATAGGTCAGCTGGGAGCAAGTCCTAATTTACAACCAAACAAAAGGACTGTGGGAGACAAAAACTTCAGTTTCTCTAACTAGCAGCAATATTGATCTAAGTTCTTGAGAGGAGCCATGGAAGACCTTGTAGTGCTTGCTTGTCTCTATACTTGCTGCTAGAAGAATTAAGAGTCTCATCAGATAGGCAAAAATTGCAGTACAGAGCCTGGTGGCTCCCATCCCACAATGTTGATCTATTTCTGGTGGGGCTTCATGCTGCAAGTGAAGTGAAAGTGTGGCAAACTGCCATGGCAGCAACATGGGGAAGATTTCCTATGTTGTATAGGAAGCAATGGGGAGAAGCTGGGTGGCAGATACTTCCCCCCATGGAATGGAGTGAGGAAGAAGAAGGGTGATGGGGGTCGATGGGTTCCTGGCTTCTCACCTGAGGTGAGAGAGAGAGATTATTTCCTCTTAAAAAAAACCCTCTTTGCTGCCTTATACTGATGCAGTTTCTTCTTTTATATTGGCTGGGACTTTCTGTGTGCTGTTAAACCTTTGTACTTTATATCACAGGCAATGAAACACTCTTGTGTATAACGAAGTAACACAGTTTATTTATAACTTCTGGCTCCAACGCTTGTGGTTACATTTGTGTTTTGTTGCAATCTTGAGGCTTACAGTCAGTATCATTTACTTGGTTAACTTTTCTGAATAATCAATCAATGTTTCAAATTCACAAACATATTACTTGCTTCACACACTCTTGGCTGAATTATATTCTGAACTAAGGCAACACTAGCCTTCTTTATGTTCCTTAAAACTCGTGCTCTATTTAACTAACTGCTTCTCTATATCAGAAGTCTTTAACACATCTTCACAACTGCTTATTTCTATCAGGTACTCAAAAACCGACTCTCCTCTTCACACACAGATTCCTAACTGTCATTTTCAAACTCCCTCACTCAAACTGCCTCTTTCAGAACCTTTGGCTCCGCCCCTTTGGAATGTTCAGCTCTGCTCTCCCCAACTGTCATTTTGGCCTAGCAGCCTTTTCAAATCCTGGGCCTACACTAATCTGCATATGACCAATCGGCTTCACATATTCAAATGAATCCTATCTCTGCTGTTGCTACCCTGTCTGTGCCTATTCTTCCCTCTCTGCCATATGTAAACATAGAGCTATACACCAAAACTTTAACATAGAGTAGCAATTTCACTACACCCCCATTGTCCTGAAGGCAACATAGGAAGCCTTTGGATCTCCCCTTTCCTGATGGAGCTCAGGGAGAAGTAAACATGTATCTTGCAATGAGCTCTGTCCTGAAAGGAGAGAACAAGCAGTGTACGATAGGGAAAGCAGCCATTGGATGAGGTTGTCGAAATAAGGAGTAGTGCTAGATTTTGTCTGCCTCCCTTCACCACACCACACCTGGAAAAAATGCAGCTGCTAGTGTAGTGTATCAACAGAATTTGAGCTTATACTCCATAACACTGAACAGACAATATTAGTGAATAAATCTTTTATACAGTCTTAAATGGGGCCCCTATGATTTTTAGTGGATCCAGTCCACATATTCCTTGTGCAGGGATATAACATTCTTCTATCCTTGAACATTTTATGGGTCCCATTGCCAGATCTGCTATCCATAACATACTGTATGCTTAGCATGCTCGGAAAGTCTGGTTTTAGACCAATTATGAGAAGATTTTGGTCAGAAAACTGCAATGAGTTTAAGTTGCCCATAATGAATAGCAGGCTCACTAACTGGTTATCATTACCTTGACATTTAAGAGCGGTGCTTCCAGTCCCCCAGATGGTCTGTGGTCTCTGCGCCCACAAATTACAAGGCTCCTTGGCGAAAAACCTGATCCTACCTGCCTGTTTCAGATATCATGTTAAAATATTCTCACTGTCACATGCTGTTTTGGAGGGCTGCTAGTTCAGAAAAGAATTCCTGGTTGCAAACCTGGAAACAGCGCTTTGAGAAACACCATCCTTACCTTACAAAGGTTGTCTCCGGTGCAGCCTGGGTCAATGTTGATCAGTGTATTCTTGCTGATGACAGAATTCATCAAAGGAGTGACAGGGAAGAATTCCAGTGGCTGGTTGTTCAACCTTAAATCTTGGATGCAGCCTTTGAAATACCCACCGTTTATACTTGTTTCTTGACTTTCTGATAATCCTCCCACGTAGATAATATCACCCCTCTCGATTTTCACCCCGGGTGTAGAAACATAGCCTAGGTTTTGTGATGACTGGATCAGCTCAGTCTTGTTTGGCTCTATTTTTAAAGTTATGAAATAGAAATTTCCATCATTTGTAGGCTGTGTTCCTTGGAGTTTGCTGGAGCTTGCACTGGCCAGGACCAGTCTCCCATCTTCCAACCAGACTTTGAGAAACAGGGATGTGCCTTTTTTCAGAGCAAACAACAAGCCCGAAGGATTGCGTGTTCGAACAAACATTGATATGGTTGCAGTTTCATAGGCACCACTCTCTATGGGAAAAGCGGCATATCCTGCAGTTCCCTCGTGACCAAATCGTGCTGGAATGTATTCTTGACCAAAAAAAAAAAAAAAAAGGGGGGGGGGTGAAAATGGTATATCTTTAAGATTGAGGTATTCATGGAAGAATAGACATATCACACACAAATACACATACCTGTGAATAATATCTTATTGGATACAAATTCAACAATGGATGATATTTCCAATGATGAAATGAGACTCAAAATGCATCTACAGTTTATATGAATGCAATTGGATACTTTAACTGCTGTGGCTCAATGCTAAGGAATTCTGGGAGCTGTAGTTTTACATGGTCTTTAGCCTTTTCAGCCAGAGAGTGCTGGAACCTCACCAAACTACAAATCCCATCATTCTATAGCACTGAGCCACTGCATTTAATATTGTATAAAACTGCATTCAATTATTATATTACCGATACTAGAGACAAAGTTGAAGTACTTTGGCCACATCATGAGGAGACAGGAAAGCCTAGAGAAGACAATTATGCTGGGGAAAGTAGAAGGTAAAAGGAAGAGGGGCCGACCAAGGGCAAGATGGATGGATGGCATCCTTGAAGCGACTGGACTGACCTTGAAGGAGCTGGGGGTGGTGACGGCCGACAGGGAGCTCTGGCGTGGGCTGGTCCATGAGGTCACGAAGAGTCGGAGACGACTGAACGAATGAACAACAACAACAATTTTCCAGCATAGAAGATGATTGAGCATATAAGACAACCCCCAATTTTTCCAGTTAAAATACAGAGTTTGGGATATACTCGCCGTATAAGACTACCCCTCTTCCAACACACACCAAATAAAATTTGTAAAAGCATCAGATTTGATTTAAATATGGTAATTTTCCTATTACTGTACTTCCTTCTCTGCCTCTCAGATCTCGCACATGCGCACCTGCACCACTTCACTGCAGTCTTCAGGAGCGAAATCTGAGAGGCAGAAGAGGAGGTACGGTATTAGGATACAAGGGCGGGCCAGACAGTTAAAAGAGGTGTGTTTTTCTGGGGTGGGGGGGAGCCGCAAGGTGAAGCTTCCCTACGTATGCTGGAGAAACATCACTACCAGTGAGGTGGGATCAGGGGCCCTGGGATTGCCTTACCGATTCGCCATGGAGGCTGGCAAATCGATCCAGGGGACCATCGGATCCATAGAATGGCATCCATAGAAAAGTCTATAGTTATTTCTATTTTGCCCTATGGTGATATGTATTCTGTATTTCTGTTTAAAATGTACATCTGCATATATTGATTACTACTCTGAAGTGTCTGCTTTTGAGCAAACTTTGTAGATGACCAATTATTAAGATGATCTGATCCTCTGGATATATTTTTTTTTCATGATGTGAACTAGATTGCAGTGTGGATGTAAATTAAGGAGCCCCCAATGACCAAGAATCTTAGATCTGCTGTGATAAACAAAATGATCAAACTCAAAATATGTTCTCTCTGTTTTTATCCTGAATCTGGCCCTGTAATGATAAAATGGATATGGGCTCAAAAGGACAGCTCAGTTTATTAAGCTCTGGGACTTCCTAAGTTACCCTCTTGAGAAAAGTTGGTTTCTTTTTAACAAATTATTGCTCTTTTCAAATGCTTGAAAATACTGATACGGGAAGGAGAAAGGCCATTCACATCCACCTGTGACAGAGGCGGCCCTAGGTAACTTTCAATGGTAAGCAAACAGTATTTTGGTCCCCCCCCCCAACCAATCACTGATATATATTTTCTGTTCGTCATGGGAGTTCTGTGTGCCATATTTGGTTCAATTCCATCATTGGTGGAGTTCAGAATGCTTTTTGATTTTAGGTGAACTATACATCCCAGTAACTACAACTTGCATATGTCAAGGTCTATTTTCCACCAAGAGCGCCTCAAGAGCGCCCCTGGGCAAAATCAACTATACTGTTAATGCTTACTATGTGTAATGGGTTGAGCTGCCCCTGCCTACAGATATTACTAGCATGGTGTTGGGATTGACCTGCATGAAAGCATATCTAAACACCACACCAATCGGTGCAGATTATATCATTTTAAAAAAGATGTTTTCTCTCTCTCTTCTTTATTGTTTCTCATTGTATTGTGTATCGAGATCGTTTTCTATTTTATGACTCCAAAAAAAGAATATTTATTTATTTATTTACGGTATTTATAGCCTGCCTTTCTCAGCCATATGGTGACTCAAGGCGGGTTACAGATTGGCACAATTCGATGCCAGGCATTCATAAAAGTGCCATTAAAAAAACAATCAACTTTACAATATAAAACACAAATAAAAACCATTAAAACATAATGCTTGAAAATACTGATATGGGAAGGAGAAAGGCCTTTCACATCAACCTGTGGGGTGACACCCTACAGATATTACTAGCATTAAAACATATAATCATCTGTGTCATCCTGTTAAAAAATATTATCCAGTAACATCATCTGGCCATTCCATGTTCATCATTCATAGTTCCGTGTTATCTATTTTGCTGCATTCTCAAAAACTTGCTCAAAGAGCCAGGTCTTTACTTTTTTTTTTAAAGTCAGGAGGGAGGGGGCTGATCTAATATCCCTGGGGAGGGAGTTCCATAGTTGGGGGGGCCACCACTGAGAAGGCCCTATCCTTCGTCTCTGCCAATCACACTTGCGAGGCAGACGGGATTGCGAGCAAGCTCCCCCAGACAATCTTAATACATACATACATACATACATACATACATACATACATACATACAGATCTGTCTCTGCTTTTCAATAGGTGAAAATAGAGATCGTGATTTTGTCAATGTTTATTGTTTCCAAATGCCAGCTGAGATCTTTTGGCATGGCACCCAGTGTGCCGATGACCACTGAGACTACCTGGACTGGTTTATGCCAAAGCCTTTGCAGTTGTTGGTGATTTATTATTATTATTATTATTATTATTATTATTAGAAACACAACAAGATGAGTCCACAGCAGACAAAATCACTCTGCTAGCTGTTGTATTGGATCACACGTCGGACACTTCCCAAGTGTCTAGGACTGTGTGATGTATCAGTGAATAATGCGTGCAGATCCCAGTAAGGTGGCCTTCTGCAGCTGGCAGATGGTAATTTTGTCGATTGTGTTTAAGTGCAGACCAAGGTCTTTAGGCACTACACCCAGTGTGCCAATCACCACTGGGACCACCTTGACTGGCTTGTGCCAGAGTCTTTGCAATTGGATCTTTAAATCCTCATATTGTGTCAGCTTTTCCAGTTGTTTCTCTTCAATCCTGCTGTCACCTGGGATCGCAACATCGATAATCCATACTTTGTTTTTTAACATGATCATGAAGTCAGGAGTATTGTGCTCCAGAACTCCATCTGTCTGTATTCGGAAGTCCCAGAGGAGTTTAATGAAACATAACAACAACAACAACAACAACAACAACAACAACAACAACAACAATCCACTACGCATTACATCCGCGTAGTGATGTCGACAGACTTTACCTGCCCAGAAAATCAGGAGGCAGAGGGCTTCTGTAAGTGAAACAAACGGTGAAGAAGAGAAACACGCACTGGCAGATTATGTGAAAGGCAGTCAAGAACCAACATTGAGGGAAGTCAATAGTAGTAAACTGCTTAAAGTGCAAAAGACAAAGAGGGAATACCATAAAAGCACAATTTTATTTATTTATTTATTTATTTTTATTTATTTATTTATTATTTAAACTTATATGCCGCCACTCCCCTGGGGCTCGGAGCGGCTTACAAGAATAGCTAAAATCTAACAAAGTTTAAAAGCAATTTAAAACAATTTAAAAACAACAGTATCAAACATTAAAAGCCTGTCGGAACAGGTATGTCTTACATGCCCTGCGGAAAGTTGGTAAGTCCCGCAGGGCACGAACCTTAGGTGGCAGAGCATTCCAGACTGATGGCGCCACTGCTGTGAAGGCTCTGCGTCTGGTTGCCGCTAGACGCAAGGTCTTGACACTGGGGACCTCCAATAGATCTTGGTCCTCAGAACGGAGGGATCTCTGGGGTTGGTAGGGGGTGAGACGATCCCTCAGATACATTGGCCCCAGACCATGCAAGGCCTTAAAGGTGAGTACCATCACTTTGAAAGTGATCCGGTGCTCAATTGGTAGCCAATGCAGCTGTAGTAAGATTGGTGTTATGTGGCATCTCATCGGAATTCCCGCAAGAAGCCGAGCAGCTGCGTTTTGTACCAACATGAGCTTCCGAATCACCGACAGAGGGAGGCCAATGTAGAGGGCGTTACAGTAGTCCAGTCTTGAGATGACCATGGCCTGGATCACCGTAGCTAGGTCGTCCCTGGACAGGTAGGGGGCCAGCCGTCTAGCCTGCCGCAGGTGAAAGAAGGCGGTTCTGCTCACGGCGGAGACCTGGGCCTCCATTGTCAGCAGAGGGTCCAAAAGGACTCCCAGACTCTTTACCAATGATGACGGGCATAACGCCTCGCCATCCAGGGTGGGCAGATGGATGTCCCCACTGCCCGGTCCACCCAGCCATAGGATCTCCGTCTTTGCTGGATTCACCCTCAACCTGCTGGCACGCAGCCATCCAGTAACGGCCTCGAGGCACTGATGGAAACAATCGGGTACAGAGTCCGGTCGGCCTTCCATCTTCAGCACCAGCTGAGTGTCATCGGCATACTGATAACACTCAAGCCCAAAACCTCGAACCAGCTGAGCAAGTGGTCGCATATAGATGTTAAACAACAGAGGGGAGAGAATGGCCCCCTGAGGAACCCCACAAGATAGAGGGGACCTCTCAGAGACCAGGCCTCCCCTCTCCACTCGCTGTCCACGGTTGTGAAGAAAGGAGGACAGCCAGTTTAAAGCTGTCCCCCTGATTCCAGCAACAGCAAGGCGGTGGGTCAAGAGAAGAAGAGAAAACTGGCCAAAGAATCCAGAGAAGAAGAGAAAACTGGCCAAAGAAGGCTCTCCATGGACAGTTCCTGGGAAAAATTGAAAGCCAAATTGACAAAGAAAAAACATGGCTGTGGCTCACAAATGGAACTTTGAAAAAGGAGATGGAGGGCCTGATTCTGGCAGCCCAAGAACAAGCCATTCGAACCAATGTCATTAAAGCCAGAATTGAAAAGTCGACAACAGATCCCAAATATAGACTCTGCAAGGAAGCAGATGAAACAATAGATCACATCCTAAGCTGTTGCAAGAAGATCGTGCAGACAGACAACAAGAAGAGGCATAACACCATTGCTCAGATGACTCATTGGAACTTGTGCCACAAATAACATCTGCCTGCGACAAAGAACTGGTGGGATCACAAGTCGGAAAAAGTTACAGAGAATGAACACATCAAGTTACTCTGGGACTTCTGGATTCAGAGACAGAGTTTTGGAGCATTTCTCCTGACTTCACAATCGTGTTAAAAAACAAAGTATGGATCGTCGATGTCACAATCCCAGGTGACAGCAGGGTTGCAGAGAAACAACTGGAAAAGCTGACATGATATGAGGATTTAAAAATCAAACTGCAAAGACTCTGGCACAAACCAGTCGAGGTGGTCCCAGTGGTGATCGGCACACTGGGTGCAGTGCTTAAAGACCTTGACCTGCACCTAAACACAATCAGAGCTGACAAAATTACCATCTGCCAGCTGCAGAAGGCCACCTTACTGGGATCTGCACGCATTATTCACTGATACATCACACAGTCCTAGACACTTGGGAAGTGTCCAGCGTGTGATCCAATACAACTGCCATCAGAGTGTCTGCTGTGGACTCATCTTGTTGTGTTTCTAATAATAATAATAATAATAATAATAATAATAATAATAATAATAATAATGTTTTATTATTGAGGGTGAAACAGGTTGGTCAGAATCCTATTGCTAGTCCCAACTTGAGGAGAACAACTGAAGCAATGGGATTTCTGTAAGTGTTGGACTATCATTCAATGATGGACTCAAAGGTTCAACTCTAGATCGGAGTAACAACTGGATTTAAACCAGTGTCCTTTCCATTAATTTTTTGCCTAGTATATATATCAGACCTGTTTGACTGCTAGCAAGTCCACCTACAAAGCCAATAATGAACATGCTCATGATTAACAAAACCTAACATGTAGATAGAGAAGGAACCACCCTCTTCAAGGAAGCATTTTCCAGTGATAGATGGTTAATTGATGGAGAAGACTCTACAGTTTGGCCCTGCAATTTCCTACAATTTCATTTCAGGTATTAGTGAAGTATCAGAGGAATTTACCTTACCTGTAGCACAGCTTGGCCCGGTGTAGGGCCTGTAGCAATCACACTGATAGCTCAGCCACAAGTTGATGCAGCGTCCCTTGTTTTGACAAGGGTGATGTTCACACCAGTCTCTTTTTGTGCAGCCTGCTTCAACATTTAAAGATGAGTCAGATGATATATTCTCTGGGATAATAAGGTTCAAGTCTATTTCAATGTCCTGAAGACAGCCTACAAATGGGGGTGCAGGATGCATGTTAGAGATACTAGGTAGAGAGTCATTGCTCCTGTTCACCTTTGGCAAACCACCCAAAAATGTGCTCTGGAAAGCAAACGTTGTTTGTTGGCAATCTATAGGGGTTGCAGTTTCACTGAGACAAGAGTCTGTGCAAAATTTGTCAAGTAACTTAAGAGTAACTTTTCTTGCGATAGTCACCTCCACTAAGTGCCATTCACCATCACTGACATTATGTGCTACATGCAGTACAGCTTTTGATTGGTCATTGATTTGTATGGATAAGTGTAAGTAGCCATTCAGTATCTCCAGTTTCACAAATACATCCTTGTTCCCACGGAAAAATATGCTAGCCGTTGGTTGAACAGTCAGAAATTGGAGGTTTGTGTTGTAGAAACAGTCTTGTACAGTGGATGGGAGACTGTTAACCTGGAGAAATCCATTTCCCTGAAAAGATAAAGCAGTAATTGTTTCGCAGTGTTCTCCAGTGTATCCAGCTGAACATAGACAGCTGAATCTGTGTTGTCCATTTCTTAAGTGAGGAATACACAATCCTTCATTTTGGCATTTATTTTGAACACAGCCAAGGAGGACCTCTGAACAGTTCCAGCCACCATAAAATATCCCATTCTCCTCTCTAGCTGGGCAGTGGCAGGTATAATTTCCCAGATAATTCTCACAGGTCCCTCCATTTTGGCAGGGGTTCATGTGACATTCATTGATGTCTTCTTCACAGTGAATGCCTGCAAGAAATCAGAGAAAGAAGGAAGCCCTTGATCATATAAACCAGATTCACTCAAAAATATAAGCATTAGACACAATTAATGGTGTAGCACAAATCAGTCCTTAATCCTGGCTACTTGAGTTATTAGGAGTGCCTCTAGACATATGGCTTCCACTTCTACCAATTAAAAGGCATTATTAGATATTCCATCTCACTGCCTTAACATACTTCAGTTGGGATTCTGTCCAGTACCAACATAAAGTTCCTTTACCCCCTGTATACTCATGCAGCAATGACATTCCTAGCAATGCATTGCCACTCTTTTTTGGATTTCCAGAGTTGTTCCAGTGCCCAAACTTAGTCACAGGAGTCCAATTGCACCCACAAAATGGTTGGGCAATAAATATGTCAATTACTTGGGTGTCACGAATATTTATGGTACGATGAAGTGAATGTTAACACACTAGGGATCCCATAGATGCCCAATTTACCTGTCCAAACACATCTCCCCCTATAAACCATCACGGAGATGGAAGCCCTGCTCTCTGTCCCGCCATTGTCACAGGCACGATTGATGAGGACAAGAGATAGGGCCTTCTCGGTGATTGTCCCCCGGTTATGGAACTCACTACAGAAGCACACGACAGAAGGCTTCCCATCTGTTCTGGTACGGCTGTACCAGGAGCTCCAATTTTATTTGCTTTGTATTAAATGTTTGCTTGCAGTCCAAGGCTTGGGATTCTGCAGAAGGGTGGCTTCCTGTTAAAGCTTGCAGTTATAGGGCAGGCCACCTGTCCATCATCATTAAGCTTTGGTTCCGTCCCCTGTTCAGGCTCTGAGAGGGATAGGAACCATTTTGGTTAGTCTCAGGAAGGAAAGCTAATGTACAGGACGTGTGCAAGCTTCCCCTATACAAAAGCTTCAACCCTCAAAACTTTCCAGGGGAAAACAGTCTTAAGAGCATCCAAGACTTTCCGGGAGAAAACAGTATTAAGAGTCTCCAAAGATTTCCAGGAAAACAGCCCTAAAGACCAAAGAGCTCCAGCTGGAGAATATCTAAGCCTTTACTGGTAGGTCCACTCGGTGCTTTGAGATGCAGTTTGACCCGGTAGCAGAGCCCACATCAGTAAGGGTTAGATTACAGTCAGCCTGGGAGAAGTTAAAAAGGGGATTTTCCTTTAAAGTAAAGAAGAAGTTATTGAAGACAGCTGCCTGGGCAAGATTCGTGGGCAAGATTAGGAAGTCACCAGTTGCATAAAGCTTGGAAGCATTTGTTTAGCTTTATTGAAGACAAGAGAAGTTTCTGTTTGATTGTTCATTAATAAAAGACTTTGTTATACTTCACAAGCTATCTAAAGGTCATTTGTGGTGGAAAACCTCTGAGAACTTCTCCTTGGGCCCCCTGGCTTCCGGCTGGACAAAGGTTGCACATCCTGTTCTAAAGATAATTATTTACAGGCCCAGCACGCAACAGAACACCATCTCTCCTTTAGGAAAGATGGGTTGAGCTGGCTTACTGAGGCTTCCCCCTCTGTGATGAGGTGGGGGGAAGCCAGGATGCTACAGAGTGGGGGGTGACAGGCCCCCATGCCCTCTAGGTGGGCGCTGATGAAATCACCACAATTCAGAGTGATATTAGGTGATTCTGGCAGTGCATGTGAAGAGGTCTGTAATGAACTCATACCTTTGCTTGCTAGGCCGCAGCCTGGGAGTCAGTGAGTTGGCCTCCGTGTTGGGAAGGCAGCTCAGGATAGCTGACATGTTGGTAAAGGCAGCGAGGCAAGGGAAGGAGTCAGCCAACTCCTGATTGGTTTAGACCCAAGGGGAGGAGTTGAAGGAGAGTGTAAATAGGCTGTCATTTCTGACAGGAGGGAGAGAGAAGGATTTGATCTAGGAGAGGAAGGATTAGGATTTCAGACAGGGAGAAGAGAGTTTCTGAGTGAGCCAAGAATTAGACTGTTAGGGAATAATAAAGAGCAAGGGCTTCTGTGTAGTTTGACTAGGGCAGTCTAAGTGAAGACTTGTTAACTTGTATTAGGATATAATACAAGTGGGTGTATTTCCCTACAGTTCAGAGTAGTTTAGAGAAAACCTAGATACTCTGAAGGTCAGCCAGGGTGGCTGATCTAAGAAAAGCACTGTTACATGTTACTGGATAGTGTGAGGAAAGTAGCTCACGTTAAGTAAACATTACTCCTTCTAAAGAAACCTTTTGCTTTATAAGTCTGTGCCTCAGAAACAAACTACACATATGTACCTCTCAGTAATGAGTTGTCTGTTTAAAATATTTCAATAAACCTGTTCTCTAGTTTACCGTTAATCTGCCTCAGCCTTGTTTTGTCATATAAGTTTAGACCCAGTAAGCCTCAATATCTCTTCAGTTCAGTCACAAGAAAGGGAGCCAAAAAGGAAGAACCGGTGTATAGGGACATTTTACCTCAGATACAACAACAAGTCAATTCCTCAAACAGTAATTTGAGGTGGTGGCAGCAAACCTACCATATACACACACCGTTCTCTCTCATCACCTGTGATTCACACGATCTTCTTTACAGTGGTGGCAGCGGTGGGATTGAAAAGAAAGGTTCCCCCCTGTCACATATGTGTTAAAAGATCCCCTATGGTTACACGTCCTGTTCTAAAGACAATTATTTACAGGCCCAGCGCATGACAGAACACCATCTCTCCTTTAGGAAAGATGGGTTGAGCTGGCTTACCGAGGCTTCCCCCTCTTTGATGAGGTAGGGGGAAGCCAGGATGCTACAGAGTGGGGGGTGACAGGCCCCCATGCCCTCTAGGTGGGCGCTGATGAAATCACCACAATTCAGAGTGATATTAGGTGATTCTGGCAGTGCATGTGAAGAGGTCTTTAGCAGTTAAAGCATGTAGCATGATAATCATGTAACATGAAAGGTTCTAAGTTCCTTGGGAAGTCTGACTTGGCCACGGTGGTCCACGCTCTGGTTACATCCCGTATAGACTACTGCAACGCTCTCTACGTGGGGTTGCCTTTGAAGACTGTTCGGAAGCTCCAAATGGTCCAACGGGCGGCAGCCAGGTTGCTAACAGGAGCGGCGCCCAGGGAGCATACAACTCCCCTGTTGCGCCAGCTCCACTGGCTGCCAATTTGCTACCGAGCACAATTCAAAGTGCTGGCTTTAGCCTATAAAGCCCTAAACAGTTCTGGCCCTGCTTACCTGTCCGAACTTATCTCTCCTTACGAACCCTCTAGGAATTTAAGATCTTCTGGGGAGGCCCTGCTCTCGGCCCTGCCATCTTCACAGGGTCGATTGGCGGGGACGAGGAATAGGGCCTTCTCAGTGGTGGCCCCTCGGTTGTGGAATGCCCTCCCCAAGGACATTAGATCAGCCTCCACCCTCTTAATGTTTCTCAAAAAAGTTAAAACCTGGCTATATGAGCAGGCCTTTCCAAACGCAGTGTAGCTATTAAACTCTGATCTTGGAACGGTTCTTGGAACGGTTGGACAACGTGACTGGATAATGACTGGTAATGAAATGCAGTGGACTTATGGTTTTTATTGTGTTACTTGTGTTAATTTGTAATGAGTTTTACAAATTAAATGTTTTTAATGTTTAAATTATTTTTGTACTTTTGTGGGCATCGAATTGTGCCATTTTGCAAGTAAAACAACAACATAAGATGGGGGCACTTTAGAAGCTACTTGAGTCATCTTGAATCGCCTGTGGGCTGAGAAAGGCGGTATACAAATACAGCAAATAAATAAATAATACTATGTTTAATACAAAATCAACTTTCATGAACATCTCTATTGTAGAAAACTGGCTCTTGTTTGTTTGTGGCGATGGAAGACCATGACATGTCTGAACAGGATGACAATGCCCTTCTTTTAGCCTTGTTGGATCCCTGGACAAGATTATTCCATTTATGAATAATCTTGTGAGAGATGCATTGCAGAGTTCTATTACAGGCCTGACTGGTTATTTCTGATCCGCAGCTGGCATCCTCTGCAATTTCACAGGTGAAAAGAAAAAGCCTTCTGTGCGCTTGTAACATTCCTCTGCTCATGTCATGCATCACTGCCTCAGCCAACTTCATCCTCCCTTGTCAAAGCAAGGTTTCCACTTTGCTTCCTGGAGAATGGTCTCCTAATAGATTTTAAACAGTCCCTGAAATCAGATGAGGCAGATGACAATTGAAGTGGGTTTTCCTTCTTCCTCTGGACCGTAGTTTTTCTTGACTGCTGTGTGCTCTGTTCATTTATTCCAGACTTGCGTGGCTCAAGAACAAATTGAAAAGTCAACAGAATGTTTCCTCTTTTGGTTAAAAATATATAGGGTATAATATATTAGATGTATATCTCTTTTCCTGGAAAATGAACATCACCATGTGCAGTATATTAAATGCAGCCTGTTCATTGTTTAGTCCAGCGTTTCTCAATCTGGTAGTCGGGACCCCTGGGTGGGTCATGGGCGGGATTTGTCTAAAGAAGGACAAATCTAGTTTAAACCCCTTCACCCTGGGCTCGGCCTGTCATTGAACATTGAAAAAACCAAGGTGCTGTTCCAGCAGACACCAGCCAACCCCTCTCCAATGCTAGTGATACAGCTTAATGGCGTAACATTAGAAAATGTTGATCATTTCCGCTACCTTGGAAGCCGTCTCTCCATCAAAGTCAACATCAACACCGAAATACAACATCACCTGAGCTCTGCAAGCGCAGCATTTTTCCGAATGAAGCAGAGTTTGAGGACCGGGACATCCGTAGGGATACCAAGGTGCTTGTCTATAGAGCTATTGTCCTCCCAACCCTGCTATATGCCTGTGAGACGTGGACTGTCTACAGACGTCACATGCAACTCCTGGAACAATTCCATCAGCGCTGCCTCCAGAAAATCCTGCAAATCTTTTGGGAAGACAATTGGACAAATGTCAGCGTGCTGGAAGAAGCAAAGACCACCAGCACTGAAGCGATGGTCCTCCGCCATCAACTCTGCTGGACCGGCCATGTTGTCCGGATGCCCGACCACCGTCTCCGAA